GTATATATATATTTACGTGTATATATATGTATATATACATATATGTATACATACATATATACATGTTTTTGTGTATATGTATATAGTTAGTGTAAATGTTTATATATATTTTGTAGCTATATTTTATATTTTTGTGAAAATAATTATTTTATTTTTTATGTAGAAGTTATATATACAGTATATTTATATATATATATTTATATACACGTGTATATACATACAAATATCATTTTCCAGCCAGCGATCAATTAAGTGCATGTATATCTATATACATATATGTTTGTGTTTAAATAGATAGTGTAAATGTTTATATATTTATATATATATTTTTTTATATATTTTTTTGTGAGATTAAAAAGCATGTAACAAATGTGTAACTCTCGTTGTTTTTAGACTCTGTCCATGATCCTGGCTCGCCAGCTTTCCAAGGAGAGACCAAATGATAAGGTAACTAAAATACCAAGAAGGAAAAACAAATTAAAAAGGACATTAAATTAATTTTACAAGCTTTTGGACAGTAAAATTGTCACATTATTTTCTATTTGTTTTTTCCCGTTATTGATAACTTATGGATCAACAATATTTTGCAGATCCTGTTGAACGCCTGCTGTCCAGGATGGGTGCGCACTGACATGGCTGGTCCAAAAGCACCAAAGTCTCCAGAAGAGGGCGCCATTACTCCAGTCTACCTGGCCTTGTTGCCTCCTGGTGCCACAGAGCCTCATGGAAAGTTTGTGTCAGACAAAGAGGTTCAAGTCTGGTGAAATGGTTTCTTGATGACACGTTGAGTCGATTGTACATGAAATCCTTTGTTTCTCCAACATCATTTCTCAAATACATCGATTATGTGTAAGCAGATCTCCAAACCATCTTAGTTTGAAATATATCCCCCAACCAGGGCAACCCTAGCAACATCTTTAATTCTGCATGATTTCTTCAGGCATAAAATCAAACAGTTGCTCACTGATTGAAACCTTTATCTTATGTACTCCGTCACTCATCTGTATGGTTGGTCAACTCTGTACCTTCATTGCTATTACACCTCTGCTTATCATCCCTGTCTTAAACAGAACCATTCGATTTTTTCCTACTTACACAGTACATCCTTTCCATCGCTCCACTCTACTATCAACTGTACCAACTGTATCCCACTTTTTCTTTCTTCCCAGTGTTCAGACGAAACACTAAATACAGTCCCCAGTCCTTACATTTGTGGTACTTTTTCCAAAGGGTACTGCAGCTCATCTTGACCTGCCACCTCTAATTCCTGTATGGAGACAACTTTGTTCATAATACTTGGATGACACATGGTACACAGTGTTTTCTAAAAAAAAAAAAAAAAATTACTCATTTGAAGAGAAAGTAATTTATCATGGCATTAGTAATAAACTGGGAACTTTTTGAAATGTGTTTCACTACTTGTCGAAATCAAATCAAAATAAACAGATATTTTCATAACAGTTTTGATTCATCTCCTAATTTGTGGTTCTGTGTACGGTGATGGGGGCGGGGCAGTATCCCTGACATCCTGTAAAAGTGAGGTCCATCCTGGACTGTAGTCAGTAGTACTGACTTACGCCAGAATTCTGTTCCTATGACACAAAGATTTTCACTAAAAAAGTCTGAACTCACATACTGTCCATAAGTACTTATGTCACTCAGCTACGCTAACACAGTGGTGACATCATAAATTAGGACATAGAAACATCAGAAGACGACTTACGCCTTGGAGACTTAATGAAGGGCAAAAAATTCCCAAAAATACAACACAAACAAAAGAAAGCAAATGTAGCACGATCCAAAGTATGGCGTACCACTAGTGAATGTATGTACTGTAAGTCGCTACTTTTTTTTACACACTTTGAACCCTGCTGCTTAAACAGTGATGCGGCTAATTTATGGATTTTTACGGGCTAATGAAGTTCATACGGCTAGCGATCAATAACTTTTATAGTAGGCTATTGTGTGTTATACTAGTAGCGTATGTCTGTCTGTGAAGGGCTGTCTGTGTATATGTGCGTGGGACGCGCAAGAGAAAACGGTAGTGAAAGTTGAGAACAGCACAAAGTGAAGGGAGTTAGCCCCGGAGCTAATGTTAGCTTCAGCCCTTTAGCAGATCACTAAGTCTCCCCTATGCATTCCAACTATGGTTGGGGTGCCGAAGCAGGAAAAAGCTAACTGGTAACCAGCGGTGTTACAGGCACTGTTTGGAAAAAAGCATTTATTTAATTAAAAAAGTGACACCTTTTAAATTTAGTTGGTGTGGACTATATTCAGGTGCGCTCAATAGTCCGGAAATTACGGTAAACAGCTGCCATCGACATACAGCATCGTGTGATGACGTATTCTTCTGCTCCACTCTCCAACTAGTTTCCGTACAAAATTTGTTTTCACGCTGTACGTCGGAATGAAAAAGACCTTCTTGATAAATGTATGGAAGATGGCGACGTAACCCAGAAACGAGGTTTGTTTTCACGCTGTACGTCGGAATGATGGAAAAAGACCTTCTTGCTAAATGTATGGAAGATGACAACGTAACCCAGAAACGAGAACCCCCTGTATTGCAACTGTTGATATTGGAAATATTTTATTTAAAGCTAGTTTTTGGTTCAGTAAAACTGAGAAATGTAATGTTTTTAGTAATAAGTCTGACCCTGCACTTGTAAAAACACAGGGAAACTGAGTTTTTAGACAAACAGTAAAAACACATCCGGCTTTAAAGTCAAATGTTTCAGAAAAGTGAATTGATCTGAAGAAAGATAAACACTTAGCTTTGGATCTACGGTGGTTCTCAAATCTCAATCTGGCACGTGTGGAGCAACATTTCTAGTTCCAAAAAGTGGATAATAATTAAAAAAGAAAAAGAAAAAAAAAAACTTAGATTTAATTTGGGTGTATGTTCTGAAGGGAAAACTTCAGAAACCATTTCACTCTGACTTAGACATATTGGAATCTAATCGCAAACGTGGTTTTGCCGGAGCAACAGTCGATGAACAAGAGTCTTAAATTGATAACGTTATTAGGAAATTGTACAACCAGAGGGCGGTGTGTGATGTGAATAAAGTACTCGGCTTCGAGTGTGTTTTCCATTCGTTTTCAGAGTCAAAGAAAATACCCCGCTGAAGGCAGTGATTTTTTTTTTTTCCGCGTTTAAATTTATATTTGCATTTTTGCTCTGGAAGGTGCAACAGTTTTACATAAAAATAGGAAAATGAATTAAAAGTATAATTCCCGTATAGAGGTCAAGTCATGGACAAGCTTTCCAGCGGGACAATCTCCGACAGTGCTGCACACACCCGGTAAATCTACTTAATAGTCACATTTATAAAAAAAAACATAATCTTCACCACACACACTCACACACACACACAATCATAAGCTGTGTCCACACCACATATACTGGTTTTTGTGTTTTATGACCACATAACATAATCAAATGCAGTCCCTTGCTTTAACCTTAAGCGCTAGAAATACGGCTAACGCTGACGCTAATTTGACCGTAATTCTAATTCTCACTTCAACCTAATTCCTGGACTCACTCGGTAGTGACCTACAAAAACGTCCCCATAAGTATAGCTTCACTCAAGACACACTCACACTCACACTAAATGACTCCCCTAAAAATATTAACAGGAGACACAGCGTTAATGTAAATATGATTCTATCTGATGAAACCGCGCAGGAGAGTGATGACAGAGTGTCGGAAAAGCAGGCAACCCACTGGGGCCTAAGTCAAGAGCAGGATCCAGCAAACAGCTGATTGTTATTGAATGAAATGCAATGAAGTTCTGTGTTTGTTGCTTTTACAAATAGCTCAGTTAATGTCGGGAAATGACAGTGTACCAGCATGAAACTGAAGACGGCTAAATTGGATTCAAGTTGTACGTTTTCTTGTCGGCTTTAGCTTTATCTTAACTCCGAAAATATCTTTTATGTTGATCTATAACAGTACTTCGAAAAAAGTCTTCCAATGGAATATAGCACGCTGGACATAAGTGTACCACTGCTGTAATGCTTAAATGATAACAAGCCTCCAGCCACTAGGTGGCAGCAACTCATACAGTGGTTTGTACAGATAAAAATAAACATGTTATCAGGTTCTCAATAGTGTTTCAATTTGCGGGGATGTGGGTCAGGGGTGGGGGTGGTGTGAAAACATTCCTGTCCCCAAGGGGGAGCATGACAGAAAAAAAAATTAAGAACCACAGGGATGGCTTGATCCGATAAGCAAAACTGGTATCAGTTCGATATTTGACAAAATGTCAGGACTGAAAAAAAAAAAAAAATTAAGCTCTTCTGATCCGATACCTAATCCCCAATGCTTAACCTACTCAGGAACACTATCGCAATGGCAGCCCATGAAATGCTGAAGGAGAAAAGAAGAGATCGGAATGATATCGGTATCAGCAGATACTCCAAGATTGCAGGATTGGTATCATATTATGAAAACGTTGTATCGAGCTATCCTTAGTTCAGTGGTTTTCTACAGGTGAGGCACACCTCCCCTAGGGGGCGCCAAAGAGTCACAGGGGAGGCCTGCATGAAGTGAAATGATTTGCTGTTGCAAATAATCGTTTATGAATTCCCTTTTTTAAAACGTTTTCAATTGCATATTAGTTGTTGTTGAAAGTCATGCATTTACTGCAGAGGCGTGGGTGGGTTAGCGCAGATGGGCAGGATTTTGGGGAAGGGGTGGCTTGTCTGTCCTCACCTACTCACATTCACCCAATTTGAAAACCCCTGCCCGAGTTAAAATACAAAAATTGGAATTTTAACTTTTTAATTTAAAAAAAAAAAGAAATCCAAATTGCTGAAAGTCTTATTAAAAACAAAGAGTGTTGAGAACAGACCAAAGCGTTGTTCATATAATTTTCCAAAGATTCTCTTCATCGGCGCTACAGTACCTCTTGTTCTTCCTCCATTATCTGTTTCAAAGCCTTTGAGGCCACAACACGGCAGACTGTAAGAAGCTGTTTTGTATTCTGCGCGCTCGTAGCTCCGTCTGTGGGAGTTGTAGTCCTGTCAGACGAGGCTAAAGCCCTGATTACCGCGTAGATAACACAAATCCACGCACGCAGTGAGAAAAGGGAGGGAAGAGCCAGAGATGGCCAGACGCGATAATCCTCTCATCTGTGCTGTCTGACAAGAGGAAAACCCCCATCGCACGCTGGCTTTGATGATAACGCTGACAATGGTCATCATCGGCCGTAATTGCCGCATGAGCGCCGCAATTACTTTATTGACCCAGTGCTGGAGAATTTCCTCGGAGATGAAGAGGAAGTGTGTATAATCAATATTAACGGCGCTCGAATGCAGCACGTGATGAGACGCTGCTTCTATTGATGACGGAGTGTAATTTAGCTAAACTTCAACTAATTGTGTTTGCATTATTATTAATCTATGGCTTCAAACCGGGCTGATTTAGCATTTTCAAAAACAGCTCGTTTTCATCATTTTCCATCCCTACTGTATGGAACTACAAAACTAGATCGGGCGTCCAACGGAGAATCGAGAAGAATAGGGAATCTTGATTTGTCGAGAGTTTAGCTGAGATGAACGGGATTCCAAAAGCAGAAATATTAAATGTAAAAAGTACAAATAGAACAAGACAAGATTAGAGTATAAAAATTGAAAGGGGCCGCAGGGTAGACAGCAAATCAGGCATCCCTAACCCCCGGTCTGGGGTCTGGTGCTGGTTTGTAGGTTATTTGGTACCGAGTCGCAGTGGGACAAATTGTACTTCAGTTTAACTCATTTGCTTCATTCAAAAAGAATCCAGTCATATCGCTTTACTTTTTTCATTCAAAGATATACTATATCTGTTGTTTCCAAACAACAGGTCAATCAGACACTAACAGAATAAAGTCTAAAAGATAAGACAATGGCGCAGTAAAAGGTTGGGGACCGCGGCAGTAGATGATAATGGAAAAAGGGTATAATAAGCTTCAACCACAACTCAAGGTACTTTATTGGATCTTAGTCAGGTCAACAATCCGAGAATAGTGAATGAAAAATATAAAATATCCATCATCTATTTCTACAATTTGTGTTTGTTTTGATTAAACCTGGACATGGGACTAGCAAAACAAAGCCCACAGTAGGACAGGAAATGCTAAGTAAATAAGATGAACAGGTGATTGGCATTTAGTTGGTGGTCAGTTATGTCTAGTAAGTGCAGATTCAAATGTATTTGGGAATTTGTCCAAAACAATACAATATATATTTTACGTCAACATGCAAAGATAAGCTTCATTCATTCATTCATTCATTCATTCCTGTAAACGGGTTGTATCCCAATTTTTTTTAGTGCAGTTTTACTGTTGACCACCTGATGTCAGCAAAGCACCATATCACTGACCTGGGTGGGGCGGGGAAGAGAGCTCATTCAACAAAGCTTGTTTTTTTTTTTTTTTGATAAAGCCGGCACGACGACATGAAAAAAAAAAAAAAAAAACCCGAC